GTCTCGTGTGAAATATATGTGCATAGCTAAATAAGCGACTGTCCTGAAAACCATGATAGTGGCACACTTATGTAGAATGTAATGGTTATGAAAAATTGCTCACTGGACAAGCAGTTCCTCAAAGTGTTGCGTTTTACAGTAAAATTCAATCAACCTCAACAAGTGGTGGCTTGCCTCTCTAATTTAATATCCTTGTCTCACGCCACGTTCCTGCTTTTTGCGTAGTTAGTGTGATAAAAAACACATTCGCGGACCACAATTGACTTAAAACTTCCATCTGGATTGATATTTGACAGTTTTAAAATATTTAGAAGATCATTTGGCCACCATACGCTTGCTTTGGATAAATGATCATCGGGCCTGTGCATTTATATGGGAGCGAGGTACAAACTAAAACGTGTGAACGATAAGTGCAATCGATTGCTGTTCGTCTTTTTTTACAAACTGGGTATGTGAGTGGAGAGAGGGAAGGGCGGAGAGGAGGCAGTAAGTCACCGTGAGGATTAGGTACAGAAGTGTCACAAGGGGTTTGGAGAGGAGGGGACGGGGATGCGGAGACATGCACACAGCTCGTTCATACAGCTCGTGCATCGATCCTTGCCCGCGTCAGACGCGGAGTGTGCAAGAGGTTTTTCTGCGCGCACAGGACCGACCTCTGTAGCCTGATGGCAGTTACCTCTGCTTTTGCTAGTAAGCGCTGACCCAGTCTCTTAGCGTAGTTAGGTGGGATCCTGTAAATCACACGGAAGGCTTCGTTGGGATCTACACGAAGCCCAGAATCCACCATGTGTGCGAGGATGAAGCTGTGTATGCTCTTAACTCCATCTTTCTTCAGCCATGCCGCAGGTGTTCTCGTATTCTTGTGGATAGGCTCCGACTCGTAAGACCAATTTATCCTGCTTCACAGGAGCAAGTAAAGGAGTAAATGCACATAAAGGTGGTCTGTGCTGGTAGCGTATCTTTACCTTCCCCGCGTAAGACGGGTTTGGTCGAAAACAATACTTAAACTCTTGTTGCCCGGAAAACCGTGAAACGGCTTGACCAAGTCGTCTTCTCAAAAGTTCACTTGCCGCGTTTCCTTGGAAGGGGATTTCGAGGAAGAGAGTTTTCTTTCCCGACGTCGGTATGATGAGTTTTGTCGGTCCTTCAGCTAGGTTTCTTACAATTAATCTCTCAGAATACCCGTTCTCGCGAAGCAGGTCCTGGATTCTTCTAAGTTCCTCATCAACGCTATCTGCTGAACAGATTTCTCTAGCCCTTTGCGCCAAACAGCGGACTAGATAACCTTTCCGTTGAAGGGATACGAAACTTGGGAAGTTCGTATATTACCCAGACCAAGTGTCCTTTCGATAGACACTTCTTCGAATGCTACTTTCAGCTCTTCTGCTTAGAAGGACGTCCAGAAAAGACAAGGAGCCTGCCCCTTCCACCGCCAACGCAAGCCTGATCGACGAATGTGCTTGATGTACAGCAGCCCGGAGTGTGGTTGTGTTGGTATCTTTCGTGGCAATGGCAAATATGCCGTCAACGTAGCGACCGTAGTGCATTAGCTTATTAATTTGGTCGTTTACTTAAAACTTCTCCATCTTGCCCCTGAAGACATCAGGAGAGGGCCAAGAGACGATCCCATAGCAACTCCGTCTACTTGTTTTCATATGTGGTTGTCAAAAAGGAACTGCACATTTTGTGTGCATTTTAGTAATAGTTCCTCGCGTACATTCGTCCGAATACCTATTTCTTGGTGACTGATAGGATTTTACATATGCAATTGTCTGTCTCTGTGACCAGGACGTTTGAGAAGAGTGATGAGACGTCAAGTGCAATCATCACCATCTAGGTTTAAGTCTTTGACGTCTTCAATGAATTCGAAGTTATCCCGGTAGCTATTTAGTGCTAGCTGATACTGTGGAGGTTTGAGTTTCTCCGCTAACCACTTCGCTCTCTCATGATAGGGTGAGTTGCGCATGTCTAAGATCGAACGGGCTGGTAGGTCATTCATAGGGATCTTCGGTAGACCATACAGCCGAGGACTGTGTGTGCCTATGGGTGGAGGTTTTCGAGTTGGCGATCGCTTATGAAGCCTCCTTCATGGAGCCTGCGTATGCAGTCCGTCAGCTGTGCTTCCAGTTCATTCGTGGAACCTTTTTCTTTGTCGGCTTTCTTGAATTTCTTCTGGTTTGACAATGTGGACTCTATTTTCGCCACATAATCCGATCTGCTCATTATAACTACGCCTGTTGCTTTATCCGGTCTAGTTACAAAATATCTATGTTCTCTCTCAGCTGCTTTACTTTCTGTATGTGAGCTTTTGCCAGTAGTCTCCGACATCTTATGTTTTTGCCCAGATATTGATAAATGCCATTCACTAGAGTTGATTTCAAGTGCTTGACGCTGTCTGTAGAAATGGGTTTCAGATCGTACGTCTGGCTCCAGAGATTTTCGAACTGTGTTTCTAGGTCTAACTGATTGAATTTTCAACGGGGTCTGGAGAGCTTGGGACCAAAAGACAATGCTTCAAAGGATGTTTAATTGAGAGTTATAGAAGAATAATTATGTTGGTTCCGATCTGGGTCTTTTGAAGCCCTGACTGTGGTTTCATTTTGTGCATCCGTAGCATGAGTGAAGATCTCTTTGCCCTTCCCCGTTTTCTTCCTATAGACTCGGTATAGTTGATAAATTCCAGTCTTTCATTTTCTGTCAGGACGTCAAGAAGGACTGCGCGGCGACAAACGTGACGTTCTAGCTCTTCCCTCTTTACACGGGTGCTTTCCAGTGGATTTGCAGCGTATCTTCTCGGGCTTACGGAGGTAGTAACTGTATGTCTACGTCGCAGCGCTCTCCAATAGTGACTTGGATATTAATTTATCTCGATACAGTCCCCAATAAACCGGACCAGCACTTTCGCCTCCACAAGGCACCCATTGAGTGTCTTTACTACCGCGGGATCTTTGAACTGTTTTGAAGTTGTGAAAATTCCCATGGGGCAATTCAGAAGAGCATTTGGCGAGCATACGCGTGTTTTCGATAAATTCTCATCGAGCCTGTACATTTAAATGAAAACGAGTTACAAACTGAAACTTGTGAGCGATAAGTTCGATTGATTACGGTTTTAAAATACCGTAGGTGATTTTTCGCTGACTACCGGAGTAGTCCAAGTGTACCAAGCCCTTTTCGTCGCTTTTGAATTACGTACCATCCCTAGATTTTGACCTTTCGCGAAGTAACCGGGGGGATGGAAAATCCTTGCGGTGAGAGGCATCCCAAATCTTGGGACGGGACAAATACCAACATCACAGACCAACCAGTCGGTGAGAAACAGTGTCGTTCTCCTCGACCTCCTCCACTCATTTCAAAATTCCGCGGCGAGCCTCCGGACGATCCCGAAACGCAGGAGACCCACAGACGGCCCAAGTCCACAACAAAGCTTAACAGTGTTTTTTCTTCCCTCAATAATGCCCCACCTCCTTCATTCTATATAATTAACCCCGAGTGGTCTAGTGAGTCCCAGACCATCTCGCGTTTGGGACTATCGCCTCGACCATCCACACTGGAGACTGGTGTACGAGTTCCCCGAAAACTCCAGCCGACCTCAGCATTGGGAGGAAGGGATGGAAAGCTGGCAAATAGCCGGATCGATGCAAGCCATGGAATTCTGCCGGAGGACCGTGGCAACGAAAGCTTTCTATCGGTTGCCCGTAGAGCTGCCTCACAGAACCCGGTTTGGCCCCATCGCTGCAAAAGTGCACCATCCTCTAAGAGAATGCGAAATCCAATCACTTGGGTATGAGCTCTTCAAGCTACAGATATATTTGAACTTCCTGCCTTCCTTTTATGGACTGCTTTTTTCGTCGGCTTCTTTTTCGGACTACGTGGAGCCGTACTTTGTATGTATTGTTGTTCTTTGTCTGAATGTTTCCGTCAATTTTGAAGTTGACTTACGTTCCCGCAATAAAAATATTAAGTGCCGTCTGTTTATTACCTTCTGTTGAAATGCAGCATGACAGGACCGATATTTTTTCATAGTATTGCATCTGTTCTTTTATAAGTTTATACAAATTCATGGAGAGAAAGAGACGGCGATTCTTTATCCGTGCCTATTCATCTAGATACTTACCGCATTACACTCGTTCTCAGGTTTAATCATGTGGATAGAAGAAGACCAATGTGGGAGTGCCAAGTTTTAGTTCGCCGCAGGTTCCTGAATTAGGTCTAAATTTCGTGTCTTCCTTGGCTAGTGTTAAGGGCCGAGGGGTTGGTCGATGAAAGTAAGACAGACATAATGACAGGTCAAAAACTTTTTGATCACTGTCGTCCCCGCTTGTACTTGTACTGGGTGCAGCTGAGATCGCGCCAGATCTAGACCACCTCGATGATGTGACGGGTTGTACCTCCACGCGTGACGATTCGCGACAGCGGATCTAGACAACTTGACCCATTCTGTCCTCCAGCTACGGCAAACTAAAATCGAAGATCAAAGAACCAGTTCAGTGTATTGACGAACTTTGTTTAACCAACTTATGACTCTTCCAAATGGGCAACAGCGCCGAATCGAGCATAGCGACTCTGAGCTCGTGCTGCTGACGGCGAAAAACGAGCCAAAACTACCTCAGTCATCTTTTTGGATGGCCTGGAGTATTCTCGCGATGTGTTGCAGTGAGTGCTAACTGTCTCGTCCGAGACGAAGTCAGTGCACTTCACTCAGTGGATGGTCCTCAGACAGTGGTGGCAAACCACGTCCAGTATTCGTCCATATTTCATGCGCACAACTCAGCATTCACTACTGTGTCGGAGGACCGACCAGAAGGAAGTGCGGTACAAGCTGATCTTTGTGGCGACGGAAATGTCGCGTAGGTCCAATGACGCTTTCTAACGCTCGGGAAAACCCCGCAGGCAACATCGATTCAGGGGACAGTGTCGCTCTTACTCTGTTCATTCAGCAGCGGCCCCACCTCAAGATAATCGCACCCGCCTGCTTCGCGATTGATCTCAAGAGTTACTTTCTACTGGTCAAAGATGCAAACTGGAAACCGTCTGGTCTTCCAAGCGTTTAGGGATACACCCAGTGATTTAGCGACTTCATTGACCTTTGAAACCAAAGACAGTAGGTCACCAAAGCTAGCAGCTGGCATAGCGATATCATCAGCATAGTCATGATGGACCAGCCGGCGTCCGAGTGCAGAATCAGCACCGTCATCTGCATGTCGGGCCTTTTCGAGAATCCAGACAATGGCGTAGTTTGACAGAATGGGCGACAGGGTGCAATCTTGTCGAACGCCAGATCGAATACCATACGGTCGGAACAGATTGGTATTGACGATAATCCGTGCAGCGGTGAAACGATGGTAAACCTTGACCATGGCGATTATTTTTTCCGGCCCACCATCTACTGACATTTTTGACCACACGGACTCAAGACGGAAGGAATCAAGCGCATTGTCAAAGTCGTCGATTGTTGATAGCTTTAGCGGGACTCCAGAATATGCCGCAGTGTTAATATTTGGTCCACGCATTCTCACCTAGCTCGGAATCCAGCTTGGTTGGTTCTCGCTCTAGGGTCACGTACAGACTGGAATCTTTGAAAAGGGACAACAACGAAGACCTTTGCAGCAACGTCGATGAAGTTTATGTTGGGACGATTCTTGCACCCGTGTCCAGTCGTGCCCTCACCTAGCCAAAATCCAAAAAACAAAGAAATGAAAACGTCACTGAGAACCTTATCATAAAGGAGATCTGCCTTCATGAGGATTCGATGCAACACACTTTGTCAGTGCCTCCTAAAATAATCATATCTTAGCGAATGCGGTTTATTTAGCGCCGATGAGTATAGCTTCCACGGGTAAATGTAAAGTTCCCTCCCGAGCCCACTCCCTAGGTAGAGGCTTATGTTCTTAGAGGCTTTCTGTGACCTTTCCTAACCCTAATCAGATCGTTGAATTCTGATTCACAGTTTTACAGCGCCTTTTACAGTCACCACATGATAACAGAATATTCAAACTAATAGTCATTGATCCGGTATGTTTATTAAAGCTTGAAGGACTTCCCATCGCCTTCGTGACCGTTCCAAAGTGGAGCCTTTTTTGGCAGTAAATGGTATTTACGGAGAAACGAGCGTTCGAACGAGAGAAGTTAAGGTAACTTTTGAATGCTAATTAAGGACAAAGCGGATATGTAGGTAAATACGGTGGACCCATTGAGGATCCCCAAGGTGCAGGAGAAAACGCAACCATTAAGTTAGACAAAATTCAGTACGATAAAATAGTTTTAAACGACTCTCTGCTTGTTACGAATCTGAACAAGGCTAGATTCGACCAATTTTATGGGGAGTTCTACAATCAAGTAAGCAACGTTCAAGGGGATCTTTTGCATGAAATCATGTGGGATTTCTGATGTCATTGCGGTTTCTTGCACAGTACATCGTGTGCGGAATAATTCTGAGCCAGGAGCTTGGAAGTTTGAGGAAGATAAAGGCCGCAAATTCTAGTCACAGGAGCAAGTTTGAATGAAGACTTAATAACGTCCACTTCAGGTCATTGTCATGGAAAATAACGTTACTCAAAAAGACATAGAATTTATGTGTGATATATATTGGTCGCTCCTTTTACCAATATCCGCATCGTTATGGCAAGTATTTTGTTTTATCCCTGTCAGAGTTTTAGTTATAAAAGTCCATTTTAAACTATGATTTATGCTGATGCAGCTGCCTACTTACCAATTCCTTCGACTAATCATGAATGCACGCAAATTTAGGTGGTCAGAATACCTTACAAACTGCAGACCTCTCCAAGCATTTTAGCCAGGAGTGAGAATTCTAAAAATATGCCGCTCTTATCAAAATCTGGTCTTCATTTCTCTCTTTGAAACAGCAGATAATCTAATATTTATAAGTCCAAAGATAATGAAATCTACCCCGACTTCTATGCGCCCTGAGTTTTATAAGCGCGATCGTGTGCAATGCCATTTGAAGAACTCCTGTCTGTGAATAGCCATATGGATGCCTGGCACATATTCGTGATATAAAAACCAGGCGTATATTGGGCGACTTTGTGTGGAGTTTGCGCAGCCAAATAAATGGCATAAACAGCTGCAGGAAATCGCATAGGCTAAGTGGGTTTGTAGTTTTTGATTAGGACTTGAACGGCTAAATTATACTGCTGTATAACTGTCTAGGCTTTCATGGTGCTTTATGGTGTTAAGAATTGCCACAGTTTTTCTTAGTATCTTGATGTTTTGTGGTCACGCAACGCATGACAAGACTATTCATATTAACTTTTTCACCTGTGATAAAGCGCATAGCTGGGAGTGTTTAAAATAAGATTTAATTTTCAACTGCGGCAATAGCCAAATGTTCAGCTGTTGCGTAGCAAACTCCATTGCATGCTGTAAACATTGAGGATCTAACAACGTTGACAGGGAGCCTTTTTCTCGAAAATCTCACGCCTCATTTATACAAATACCTAGAGCTCTAGGTGCATCGCGAATGCACAGGTACAATAACTGTCGCCATTTTCGAGTAGCTCTTCATTAAAATATCCCATACTGAGTTAAAATTATTATTTTTTAAATTTTCATGTTTACTTTCGTTTCTGCATGATCACATTCAAAGTAAGCACAACTGTGTCCATATATTTTTTGCAAAACGTTGTTTTTTTGGCCCAAATCTCTGAGTTAATGTCTCGTTTCCATCTCAAAGGCTGAAGAGTAGAAGTGGGTTGAGTTATGCCGTCGCCATTTAATAGCCGTGGGCGGGGGTCAAACGACTACAACGTAAGGGGCAATTGCACCCATTATCTGGAATAACGATAATCTCAACGACAAAAAAGAGGGATGATGAGCAAATACGCCAAGCATAAGCTGATCTTGAAAACCACTCCTGCTCCTCTGCCTTGCTAGACAAGCTCGCTTATTTCACCTGACACGTTTACAGCTGAGAGCTCATAAAGGTCTGAAATTTGTTGGGTAAGTTTTTGACTTCCTGACCACAGGCATGAAATACTCTCCGAACTTGATTATGCTCACAATCGATTCTTTCAATAGGTTTTCACACTGAAAAGGTTGCGTAGGAGGCAGCAAGCTTGCAGAACTGACTGGTAGGAAATCCACTCCTTTGTAAAGTCCTCTGTTATCGTGTTTTCGCGTTTGACCAAGCACCCTTTCAACTGCCTCTAGAGCTGACACGCAGGAAGAGTCCCCTGTTAGTCGAGTTCATTTTTCCCAGTTACTTTAGATAGCTCAAAAAACACTTTCATTTGTTTCAAGCTTGATGGTCTGCTTACGTACTCTTTGTAATTTTTACTGGGTTTCAGCGCCCCCACCGTACTGGATACAAAAGCAATGCGCAATTCAAACAGTCTAAGGGAACCAATTTTGTGGAACAATTTAGAAGTATTAGTTAGTTTTTGATTATGAGGGTAGAGTTGCAAGTTGGCTAACCGAAATTTTCTTGAAAATGACCCGCACATGGGTACCAGTGGGAAACCAAGGTTGCAGCTACTAACCACTGCTCATGGCGCTCTCCAGACGAAAACTATAGGATTCCCGTTGTAGTTTCTATTTTTCATCTAATCTGAAAAATGGTCTGAAAGAACCGACCGAACTGGAAACATTCATCGCATAGATACAGTGAGTGACCGATTTCGTGAAATGTTGGCCGAAATTCTGAAATGCGTTTTCGATTTGGAAAGATTTCTTAGGTGAGACTGTAATATTGGTTAATATGCGGCATAATCCTAAAGTATTTTGGAATCGTCAGGATGTTGACTTTTGAATACACTTCTTTCGGACCGCCTGTAGAAATCAAACTCGGTAAAAAATGACTGCTTGAGTAGGATGTATTTTTCGCATTGATTTCCGATGGTCTTATAAATTCGAATATATTTTTATAGAAAACATGCACAAAAATGTGCTTTCACTTAATCGTTTGGTAGAAAATCGTGTTATCTTCACATTTTATGCTCGAAGAAACGGTGTCTTTTGGTTTTAAAAGAGTTTCTAATTATGCGATTTTTAGGACCGTGCGATGTATATACGTACAGCATCGCACGTATCCGTTTATCAATACTCATCATGAAATGTACAAAATGGTCTGCACCCAATGCAAAATTTTGTGAACTCTATATGGTATCTTCTTAAAGGCATGTAGGAATGTATGATTTTCCTTACGCGGAAACCATGCACCTTTTGGACTGAAAGCGCTAAACTCTAATGCAACGGCTGATCAGCTTCAACATTATTCGGCAATTGGGAAACTTTTTCAAAACCTAAATATACATTCTCTTTGGGTATAAATTGAGGACAAAATGTGCTTTTTTACCAAACGAGTAAGTGAAAACAAATTTTCGTGCATGCTTTCTACAAAATATATTCGAATTTATAAGACCAGCGGAAATCAATGCGAAAAATACATCCTACTCAAGCAGTCATTTTTTACCGAGTTTGATTTCTACAGGCGGTCCGAAAGAAGTGTATTCAAAAGTCAACATCCTGACGATTCCAAAATACTTTAGGATTATGCCGCATATTAACCAATATTACAGTCTCACCTTAGAAATCTTTCCAAATCGAAAACGCATTTCAGAATTTCGGCCAACATTTCACGAAATCGGTCACTCACTGTATTTTCAGCAGTTCACCACTTTACGTCTAAAAGACTTCTTTAGGAGCAGTAACTGGTGCCACCATGTTGAACGAGCAACAAATATCTGATTCACTCCTTTAGAGGAGAGCAGAATAAACAAGGAATGTGCTTAATTAGCAGGGTATCGGCCCTATCTAATAATGTCATAATATATACACATATACTTATGACCTCAAGTAACATATCCCCTTTCATATTGCCTCAAATGAGTACATTTTTGTTCAGTGGTATCCACTGAAACTCTCTGTCAATGTATCGTCATAATTTTCCAAGAGAATGGTTTGAAGAAAGACATCTAATGGGTCCAGGTCAGTTGCTTTCTCCTGCGATATATTTAATTGATTCGATTTCAACTTTTTCAGACTATGCGCTTATTGTGGAGAAGCTCATGAATTTATGTTTCAGGCTTCTGTCTCATGTGTTAGTGCTACACGCAGTCTATACACTGAACATTCGTTTGGCACTGGAATTTTGGTTTCGAAGGTCGTGTTTCTTACAAGCACACACTTTTACTGTAGTAAAAACTATTCGAAATCCGAATGCGTACTTGCATATCAGAGCTAATACGCAAAAGTGCCTGAAAGATGATGGCAAATGATGCTTTGGTGTGGTAGGCCCTTTGTCTTTGTAGTGTAGCTCACGAATAATATCCCCTTCTCTGTTCGGGATGTTAATTAACAACCGAGTCAGTCAGTGCAACAGCTTTGCTTTCCATAGACCTTGTTCAACATTGTTTTAACTTCGGTATAGTAGCAATAAACGGCGGTTATCGCTGGTGACTTAGAGAATCTTTGCTGTTTCAGTAAACCATACTTTTGACGGCTCGTTTTAAGTAAATAAAGTTATATATACGTTCTTACGTCAGGTCTGGTGCTT